AAATACAAATCAAACGACGAATTATTAGTTGCGAATTATACAAATGTGACGAATTATACAAACATGACTAATTATACAACTCGAAGTCAGCCCACGTAATTAATGGTTAATGTTAGTCGTGAGTGGTAATTATAACAAACTATAACTATGATGAGTAATTAAGTATTATAAGTTTGTTTAACCACGTAAATTTTTTTATTTAAGAATTATGTAGTAGGAAAAATACATAATATGTACTCCCTCCATCCCATTTTATGTGAGGTAGTTTGACTCGGCACAAAATTTAAGAAAGAAAGGAAGATTTTTAAAACTTGTGATCCAAAATGAATGATAGAAATTTGTGTGGCTGTAAATCATTTTATTAATGGCAAAATAAACATTTTATAATTAAATTGTTACTTAATATAGAAATGTGTCATTTTTTTTTGACTGATTAAAAAGGTAAGTAAGTCATATGAATTAGGACAGAGGAGTATTATTTACTATATACCATTATAATTCGGAATATATATCATTCACAACTTTATAAATATAGTTATACTAATGCTCTCTCTCTCTTTAATCCCCCCCCCCCCCCCCCCCCCCCCCCCCCTCAAAGTTTCTAGTTTTTTCTTCTTCTTCGATACATATTTGGGTGCCTTAAAAGATGTCATTCATCAATAAAAGAGTTAAATTTATTTTTGTAAACTACGAAAAAAATGTTATTCAGGACAAGATGCATATGGTACTAATACATAAAATGATCAGACGATTCGTCCCCTCCAACCCTTCCATATTTGTGGGCTTATGATCTCCAAGTCGTATAATTAAAGTTAACTATTTTATCTTTAAAATGGTGAGATCGAAACAACAGAATGTTATACAAAAACCAATAACAAAAAAAAATAAAAAATAGCACCGATAAATTAGACGACCAAAAAAGTTATACTAAAAAATATATTATTTGATATAATTTGTTAAAATGACCTACATATTATAAAAATTAATATAACGATAATAACATATGCAATGAAAATTTTCAAGTGGAGTCTGGAGATGATAGAGTGTACGCAGTCCTTACCACACCTGTGAAGGTAAAAATGTTGTTTACCCTCGGCTCAAGTGCAACAAATTTAAGTAAAAAAAGAAGAAAACAATGAAGCACTCATAACAACTAATAAGGAAAGAATTGCGAAATCTACGTGAAAGGAACAATAGCAAAATAATATGATAATAAAAAATAGAGTAATAAATAACAAATAATGATAAATATCACAAGCAAGAATTATATGCATGCGACCAGTACTATGACACAACCAAACAAACCTAAACCTTCAAACAACAATGCAATACTTACATGGGTTGCCAATTAAACAAATTTTATATGCGATAATAATTGGACAAAAAACGAATAACCAACTAACCCATAACCATTATGAAGACAACGAACAATATTTTAAAAATATAATTAAACAGAACCAACCATGAAAATTTTAATTTCAGGTGACCACATAGAATAAGAAAAACTAAAATAAATAATACAAAATATATAAGAGGAAAAACGAAAGGAAAAACACTCAAAAATATAGAAAACTCGCTATTTTTTCTTTGTTTTGCAATGGCCACCAAACAATATTAGAACTCAAAGCCCTAAGTCTTTTTTTAAAAAAAAATTCAAAGTTGATTTGAAATATTAAAATTTGGGTAAAGTTAATATTTTATTAGTGGTCTATTTTTAATTAACTTGATTTGTGTTTATTTTTTTTAAAAAAATGGAAAATGCTAGTAGTCTATATTTAGTTAAATTGTGTTTTTTTTTTCTTAAAAAAAAAAGACAAACTGTTAGTAGTCTAATTTTTAGTGGACTTAAATCTTGCTTCTTTTTTTTCAAAAAAAAAAAAGAGACGAAACGTAGAGCTCTTTATTTGCAGATTTATTTGGAAGCCTGTTAAAACTAAAGTGAGCATAGATAAGAGGATCCCACTTTTCTGCATCCCTCTTCCCATAAGCAGAATATCAGAAATACGATCAAGTGGGTCTTGTCCAGCAGCCTTCGAGCTTTGCCACCCAAACTTTTGAGCTAACAACTTTCGGTGTTTTTAAAAAAAAATCGAAATGACATTTAATCGCGTTTGTAATTTATTATTGCATGTAGATTATATATGTAGAGTTTGAATACGCAATACATGCCAACCATGCTACAATTCGATTTCTTCCGCAAGTATGTTCTTAAAGAAGCATTTTAATTATTCATCAAGATGTTAAGAATGTAAAACATTAATTGTTTGATCTTAAACATTTAATAGGAGTGTTTGCATAAGTTTTGCCGTATTTTTAGATAGAGTATCTATTATCTAGGACCTATGTTATATTTATATTTGAAAAATGTTATAAAATATATTTATATATTAAATTTAACATATTGTTAATATATAAAATATATTTACATACACGTAAGGTTATTGATTCGGTTCAGAAAATTTTCAGTTTTTATTATAAATTAAAAAGATTAACCCAATTTTCAAGACGATTATACACTTAAATAAAAGCTCATGATTTTATTGAAAAAATGATATAAATCAATTTGGTGCGATTAATTTTAATTGATTTTTCATATTCTTTTGATACCCCTAATTAGACTTACCTATCTCTCACTATTGTAAGACTCGTGGAACGTCCTTAAATAATACTCCCTAATTAATTGTTTTCCTACATTATTCCCTCCAAAACATATACTAATTTTTAAGATAATCTAAATTTTAATGCAATTTAAAAATACTAGATCAATTTGATTACTTTTTCTTTGACTTTGAAATTCAGGGAATATTTTGGCAATATGCTTTGCTAGTTGTAGAAAGTACTTATAAATACAAAACAATAACTATTTCATTCTCTATCTAATAAGTTTATCTTCTATACGAGCTCTTTATCAGTGAAGGTTTTATCTGATTAGTCAAACAATATAAATAAATTACTAGTAATATATAATTCATAGTCAGTATATGGTCCAAAGGAGGATTTTTTTTAAAATGTCGTTTAGATGACCTTTTAAATTAATTATAGTTAGCCATTATTTTGGGAAATGATGGTTGTCACGTTCTTCAATTAATATTCTGTTTCGAAAGACATCATCTTCATGGAAAGAAGGCATAAAGTGAAATTTTAGTTGGAGAACTGAAATTTAAATAAATTTTTATATATACTTTTTGTAGATGTAAATTATAACTTAATATTTTTTATAAAGGAAAAGGGGTTTAATATATCCCAACTTTATTGTTTAAAGTTGATATATCACTCATTATAAAGTGTTTCATATATACTCATGTCTAGGGGTGTCAAATGAGCAGGTTGAGTGAAAATTAGAGATATTAAAATGGATTGATATTTAAATTGGGTTGGGTCTTCACCCGCCCAAGTTGGGCTCAAAGGGCTAAAAATCAAGTTGGGTCATGAGTATGACCCATCCAATTTGACCCACTTAATCTCAATAATTTCAACATATTGTTATTCAACTTTTATAACCACAATTTGAATTTCAACTCAAGATTTTTTTTTTAAAAGTTACAAACGGATAGACAAATTCTAAAAGATATAAAATAGATAGTAATTTATAGGAACATACATTACATTGATTCAAATAAAGAGTCTTAAAATAGGTTGAAATTAGAGATTAAATTGGCTTCAATTGAGGATTCTCTTAAAATGGGTTAAGACTTGAATGAATTGAGATTGAACCCAATTCAAATTATCTTGAGCTCAACCATTTAAATTATGGGAGGGTTACCTATATTTGAGTTCATTTTTGACATCCCTACTCCTATCGTTATAAGAGTGACTTACATATACCCCGATCGTTAACAACAATGACTCACACACTCTTTTCAACTAACAGAAGTGAAAAAAATTAATTTTCAAATATTTTTTTTGATTTTTAATTTTAAAAAAATCCACGTAGGGGTATATATGATCCTTCTAACAAAGTTACACATGAATTATTTTTTGAGTTTCTTATTCTTATTTATCTATTTATTTATTTTTTCTTTCATTATGATACGAGAAATTAAAAGAAAGAAATATGAATGAAAAAAGAGTAAGAAAAAAATCTAAAATTAATTTTTTGAGGCTATATTGTAATTTAGTTTTTGAATCTCTAAATTTTATTTGGGGGCATCTATAAAAAATTTACAAGAAAATTAGTTAAAACAAATAATTGGACCATCAAATTAATAAATCTAGATTAGTCATTGAGTCAAAAAAGTAAAAAAAAAATTACGTATGAGAGATTAAATATACCCTTACATGATATTTAAAAAAAATTAAATTAACTTTTTCACTTCTGTTTGAGGAAAATGATATATGTGAATTTGTAATAGTAAGGATATATATGATCCACTTTCATAAGGAGATGTATATCAGCTCTAAATGACAAAGTTGATAGGTATAACAACTCATTTTCCCTCTTATAAATGTTTCTTTGAATAGTTTTTTGAATTGTTAGTTTTAGGTAAGATTTTATCAATTTAATATTGAAAAACATCATTCTACTGAGACAATCATTATATGAATTGTTAACATAATTATATTCTATAAGTAATAAGTTGACAATATTTAGATAAAAATATGAGTTAGAACCATATAATTTGATTTAAGAAGTTGTAACTCGGCATATATACCATAAAAATATGAGTTAGAACCATAAAATTTCACCAAGTGATCATTTAGTGCGCCCTCAATTTCATTTACTTAATAATAATATTTTATAATCATACAAATGTCTTGCATGACTAGTTAAATTAAATAAGTTGACAATAGATTGAAATGGAGCGATCGAGTACCCTAAGCTCAACGTGCTAACCATATGGCCGATGACTACCAAGTACTAGTAGTGTATATTTTAGGAGACTTTTGAGAAGATAATTAAGCTCCACACGACTCATTGAACAATTATTTTTATATATCTTTCATTGCCTATAAAAGGAAACTCTTCTTGAGGATAAAACCATTGTGCCTTAAGCAATTTGCTTTTTTCATCATCTTCATTGTTATTCTTAGGCTTAAGTCCTTCACATTCCTAGCTAAGAAAAGAAAATGACAACTCAATTTGTACTAACTTGTCTTGTTTTTATGTGTCTTGTTCTTGGTGGAGTTGCTTGGGATACAAGGAATGAAGACTATTCAAGAAATGAAGACGGTGCAAGGAACGAAGACTATTCAAGAAATGCTTGGGGTGCAAGGAACAAAGACGGTGAAAGGAATGCTTGGGGTGCAAGGAACGAAGACGGTGAAAAGAATGAAGACGGTGCAAGCAATGCTTGGGATGCAATTAAGAATGTTTGGGGTGCAAGGAACTCAAATGCACCACGAAAGAACTACTATCAAAGCACTCATTGTCCAAATGTTGAACAACTTATTAGAGATATCACTTGGAGCAAAGTTGCAAAAGACGCTACCTTGGGTGCTAAGTTGCTTCGAATCCACTACCATGATTGTTTCGTTAGGGTATGTACCAATTAGAATTACAATACCATGCACACATACATTATTTCGTAATAGAATTTAAGTTATGTACACTGACTAATTAAAAAATATATTTACTAGAGTAGTCATGACATGATGTTGCTTTAATTTATGTCTTGACATTATGAAAATTTATAAATAGGGTTGTGACGCATCCATATTGCTGGACAAAGTGGGAACAGATGATTCAGAGAAGGAGGCTAGGCCAAATCTCTCATTGGGTGGTTTCGAGGTGATTGATGATATCAAGCGAGAAGTTGAGGCTAAATGCCCTGGCATTGTTTCTTGCGCAGACATTTTAGCTTTGGTTGCTCGTGATGCTGTTTCTTATCCCGTAAGTAATTACATCTCCATATATGTTCAAAGGATAGTCTATTCTTGAAGTTATGAGTTCAGTAGAATTCAATAGCTACTTTTATTAAGAAAATCCACTTAATAATATATATATATAAATAATTATTGCTACTCTAATAATTAAGTCTTTTCATGCAGTTTAAAACTTTAATGTGGGAAGTGGAGACCGGAAGAAAAGATGGGTTTGTTTCCCTTGCAAGTGATGTGAACGGAAACTTACCTTCACCATTCTCAGATTTTGCAACCCTTAAGCAAATCTTTGCAAACAAAGGCCTAAATGTCGATGATCTCGTTGCATTATCAGGTAAATATTATGTGTCTTACAAAGCGAGCAATATCATGAATCAATTTATATAAACTGTCAGTGTATAAAAGTTAAATCAATGAGTAATATAATAAACTTGTTCCATGCATACTTGTAGGTGCTCACACAATTGGTGTTGCTCATTGTGGAGCATTCTCAAGGAGACTCTTCAATTTCACTGGCAAAGGTGACATGGATCCATCTCTCAATGCTACTTATGCTAAAGATTTGAAGGATTTTTGTCCAAATCCAGCCAATCCAAATACTACTGTGGAAATGGACCCTATGAGCTCAACTTCATTTGATAGCAATTATTTCAACATTCTTATTAATCAGAACAAAGGGTTGTTCCAATCTGATGCTGCCCTTCTCAATGATAAAGACTCAGTAATTGTCATCAAGAAATTGCAAGAAGATGAGACTTTCTTTTCCCAGTTTGCGAAATCCATGCAGAAAATGGGAGCCATTGAACTTCTTACAGGAAATGCTGGAGAAATCAGGAAGAATTGTCGCGTCAAAAACTAATTCAACCTATTATTATTATTATTATATCATATGTATATGTTGTCGCAAAAGTGTACAACATGAGTCTCTTTTATTTATTCATTTTGTTCTTTAATCTCCCGTAATTTTGTGTGGTGATTCCAAATTAACTAACTTTATGTAAGTTAATTTATATGGTTATTGTTTGAAAAAGAAAATTGTGGCAATTAATGTTTAACTATTTGATGTAGTGTATTGTTTAATGACTGTCTACAACTTTCAAAGACTAACTTTAATGGTGACTTCAGGATATTAACAGCAAAATAATAAAGAAGGCTAAAATGGGAGGCAATATATATATATATAGCTAGTAGCCCCAAAATATCTGCGACATGCCAGCTTAAGATATATAAGAACTCTCACGTACATCGGCAAAACATAGGAGAGATGTCGTGTATATAAGTAAGTAGACCTTACCAACTAGCGACGCATAAATAGCCTTACACAAATGATTAACCTGTGAGGGATGAGATGTATTCTCAAATCCAGGTGGTTATTTCATAAAAAAATCTTCTTCAAGTGTGCCTTGTAAAAAGGCATATTATTGATGTCCAATTGATGTAAAACCTAATTGTGTCGAACTGCAAGTGAAAAAACAACACAAATGATCGTAGCCTTGACAACAAAACAGAACGTGCAGTGATAGTCAAGACCTGAACAATGAGTGGACCCTTTGATAACCAACAGAACTTTGTACCTATCAACCGAACCATCAACTTTCTTTTTATCCTACAAATTCACTTACAATCAACCGAAAGATATGTTGTTCGGTTTTGAATGATTTATATATTATATTTGAAAGAAATTCAAGCTAGTTATATTATTCAAAAAAGACATTCATCAAATGCTGAAAAGATAAATTTAATATCTCAAAAAAAAAGTACTTGAATTCATTCTTTCAATAATTTTGAGCTATTTCAAAGCATATCCAATAGACTTGATATATTTTTCTTAATTAATTGTCATAGTTTAAAGGGAAAATTATACAGAATAGTAAACGTATAAACGATATTAAATGCTATAACTACTGCTTTAAAAAATTGTAATTCGCAGTCATAATTTCCTTAAATCTTGCTATTTGTTTAATTTTCTCAAATTTGTATAATTCGTCTGATTGTATAAATCAAAATTTTGTATAATTCGATTCCTGATTGAATAAAATCCTAATATGTATTTTCTTGCCCTAACTATTTTTATACAATTTATAAAAAAAATTCAAAATAAATTACCATGTTTGTATATTAGCAAGCGAAATATACAAAAAAAATTCTGAAAAATTCCAAAATGTATAAATACAGAATTTGTATATATTTACCCTGTGTGTATATTCTCAAGCAATATATACAAATGGGCAAGTGAAATATACAAACCGCACGAAATATACAAATCAGGGCCTCCATAGTGAATGAAACTATAGCTATGGAGCGCAAGTGTTGAAACTATAGTTATAAAGACTTATTTTGTCTATTATGTTTGCTATTTCTAAAATTTACTCTAATTTAAATACTAGAATGCCTCTTAACATAGATTTCTTTGAAGTTACTCATAAATTAGCAAAAATGATTTTAAGTACTCGAGAGTTTTCCTTTAAAAGACTATTATTATTTCAAAACTTAAAAACAAGAGAGAAACATTATGAAATTCCTTTGTAGTACAATGTTATATGATTTAAATGTCATTTTAGAACTCTATCAATATTCAACCTTGTAAAATTGCTACTAATGTATGACAATTAATGAACTAGGATTTAGGGTTCTGGTCCTGGAGCTTAAAAAAGACAATGCATATTGTAGGGTAATAATGAATGGATGTAGCATATTACAACAGAAGGAGTCAATTATTACAATTGCTATGAAGTCATACTTACAATACTCCAAATTTTAGGACAAAATTTACTAGGGCTTCTCAAGTATATATATATATATATATATATCATTGGCCAATTTTTTTTTTTAATTAAAAAGGTCGTGTGTATATGTACGTATTGATATTTTATAAATTACTGTTTCCTTCGTTTTATATTTAGTTGTCCAATTTTCTTTTTATACATCTCTTAAGAATTTAATAATAAGAAATATAATTTTACTAATTTACCTCTTAAAAGACTTTCTTTGAACTTTACAAATTTATAGTTTATACTTTCAAAACAAAAAATAAATTTGTGAAGGTAAAATAGAGAAAATGAAATTATTTTTTTGTTGATTTTATAAATTGGCAAGTAAATTGGAATAAATATATTCTTAAATAAAAAGGACAGCTCAGGATAGAGTGAGTACTAGATTAATTAATTGTTTTAATTTTTTAATTATTTTTATTGGAAAAGTAATGAGTTCTAGAACTTTCCTTTTAATTACCTTGCCATAATATTCCTTATCTTAATAATCTAAGAATATTATGTTGACTTTGTAAATCAGAATTATTAAACTTTAAAAAAAAAAAAAAAAAACTTTTGGTCAGTATAATCTTTTGCTTTCCATATTACTACTACAAGTTGTTGTGTCGTAATTTTCCTATTTCTAGAAAAATCACTTTTTTGAAATATTCTAAGTATAAAACGGTTTAAGAAAAATACTTAGAAAAGAGTCGCCACTTAATTTTTTAAAGAAATTAAGAAAACTTATAATTTTCAAAGATTTAAACAGAAAAAATCATTTGAAAATACCAAAGAGGGTTCGGGGTTCAATTTACACTTCGAGAAGGGTTTAAGCATTCGAAGTGTCCGCTAACATGCGGTTGACCTGCGACTTGACTAAAATATATTATTATTATTTTTTGACTATTTATAGAAAAATAATGATTTAACATAAAAAAGGATAACTTACAATATTTGAATAACTTTGATAAAATAATTAAATGAATGATGCATTTTATATTATTCTATTTTATTTTATTTTTAAAGAAAAGGGATCCAAAATGGCACATTTGACTCGAAATACATTATGATTAGAATATTAATAAAACAAGATTAATTAGAATTTATTTTATTCATTTTGAAATAATCATTTAAACCCATTTAAAGCATGAAAATTATTTTTTTATTAATTGACTAACCTTTTTGAGAAAAGACTAAGTAAGTGTGTGTATATATATATATATTCAATTAATTGAAAAGGGTTTGATTAACATTTTTTAAAAGTTTATTTGAGGAAAATACTTTAACTTACAACAATTTTAAAATGAATAAAATGTGATTAAATGAAAAGCATTAAAGAACATCTCTTTTTAAGAACTAAATGTTTAACTTAATTGAAAATATAAAATTTTGACCAATATATTTGATTAATAAAATAAATGAACACAAAGCCATGAAATGTATTAGAATTAAACCAACACAACGAAAATGACTCATCTTTTGGGGAATCTAATTAAGTTAATTAAAAATTCTAAAGTTAGAGTTAAACAACAAACAATAAGTAATCACGATTAAATAATTTAAGAGTAACGGAGAGAAGTTGAATTTGGGCCTTTCTTGGGCCAAATTCGTTGGAATTTTTTGGGGTTTAACCAAAACCCGTTTTTGGTATACACCTGATGTATATCAGTGTATATGAGCATATATATTAGCTCTTTTCATGCGGTTCTTGCTTCCGAACACCTGTGTTTTGCTTTAGCCTTGTATTCCTGCGTTTTTGACCTATATATAAGTGTATACAGTTGTATATAGCGTATACAGGCTGTATCTCAGCATGTTTTCAGCTTTCTGAAACTGGTGTGTCTGCGCACTGTTTTGTGGAAGCTCCCGAAACTCGAACAAAGATGAAGGCCGACTCAATGATGGATCTTGACTCAACGAGATGCGGGGATGGAGTCCCAAGTGGACTCGGATAAATTTGCATACAAAAAAAAAGAAGTGAAAACAATTAGTATCACTCTAATTAATCAACTAAGCATGTTTGGCAATTTGACTTCCCGAATCAGTAACAACACTTCCAGGTGAATTGAAAATCACTTTACTAGATCGACACTCAAGTGAATAAATACATCAAATTGTCTCCGTGATTTGGCCTTGATATTTTAACAAGATTAAGAGAAGAACATGATTCAGTACACTCCAGTAATTCCTAAAGCCACTATTAATGTATATAAAGTTGAGATCAAATTATAATGTATGAGGGTACTGTATCAATTTTTTTATGAAGGAAATGAAACTAGATATATACTGCCAAGACATAACTGGAAAATAACAATACAACTTCTAGTATTTCAAGTAATCTTAAATCTTCGCAACTATGTAGCACAATAAGAGAAGAACTCAAATCAATTGTCCGCTTTCGAACACCTAATAACAAGTAAATGCTTAATTTAAAGTAAAACGAGGCGATGCTCATTGAACAAATTCTTTTCTAATGCTTAGTAAAACTACAAACCATGAAGAGATATAGAATCATTTACCCTTGTATATCTAGAAGAGGCAGCAACAGACCCATGTAACACCGAAACGAAGTCGAACACTTTGAGTATGAACAAACCAGTAGATAAACTAGTGAGGTATGACAAGAATTTACATAATTTGTAATATGGAGGAATATGATTTTAACACTTTTTACCACTTTGGCGAAAGGAGTGAGGGAAGGGATAAACATGATTCATCAATTTCCAGGGCATCAGTCCAACGACAATATAATAATACGACTAAAAAAAAGAGATAGAGAAAGCTAACCGGTCTAAGCTAAATAGAAAGCTGAATAAAGGAAAACAGCGATGCTAAAAGGCAGCGAAAACAAGAATATACTGATTCAACGACATCAAAGCAAGCATACGAGAAGGAAAATAGCAAATCGATTTCAAACAGAGGAGTAAAAGAGCAATGGTACTAAATACATAACACAAAACTGAATCAACATAAAGACTCAATCATAGTAATCAACTAAGAACAATGCATCATATCAATACATCATTAACTCGGCACATGACAATGAGCCAGCCGCAGAACAAACATTTTCCGACATCGGAAAATACCACATCAAAATAAATGAAGAGACGAGAATACTATGAAGGGGGAAACATTACCTTTTTTCGGGCAGCGACTGAGACGACGAGTTGAAACGAACTATTTCACCACCACGTGAAAAAGAAC